AGTTAATTGGATAGGGATAATTTAGTAAAGTTATGTTAGTCAAGTATCCATTCAATTAAATTTAGAAATTCAGGAAAATCTTATGCTCTTAAACTATTAGACAAAGTTTAAATCCAAAAATATAATCTTTATTAATAAGTCTAAAGAGAAATTGATAATCAATCTAAACTTAAACATGGAAATATTGTTCAATTATTTACACATTTTTAAGATAATCAAAAAATCTATTTAGTTACTGAATATTGTGAAAAAGGTAGTTTGTATTAAAAACAATTCACAAAATATAAAATAAAAGACATTATTAAATAGATTATTATTGCTATTTAATATATCCATCAAATGGGTATTATGCATAGAGACATTAAACCTGAAAATATATATATAACATAAGATGATATAGTAAAAATTGGAGATTTTGGTTGTTCAATTTAAAAAGGATAAAGAAGAAAGACTTTTTGTGGAACTCCTGAATATATGTCTCCTGAAATAATACTCAGTTCAAATAATATGATCTAATATGGTGGATATGATGAGAAAGTTGATATATGGGCTATAGGTATATTACTTTTTGAACTATTTAATAATACCGTTCCATTTAGAGATATTAATAGAGATAAATAATAAGATAGAATATGTAGAGAAGAAATTGTGTTTAAAAAAGATGAAGATCCTTTATATGTGGATTTTGTATAGAGATGTCTTCATAAAGATCCAAATTAGAGAGCAAATCTAGAATAACTCCGTTAACATCCTTACTTACAATTTTGATCTTTATTTAATAATATTTAATTTAATACCCCATGGATTCAAGCACATACAAATAAAAAGAGTCTAATTCTCAGTTGTCTAACTTCGATAATAGTGATAATCAAAATAATAAAGTAGATATATGAAATATTTAGAGAATCTGATCATGCTCACCACCTAAGTTGAGAGACTTACATTAGCGTTGAAAAAGAAAACTAATGAAGTAGAGAGCCTCTAAAATTAAATTAATACTTAAAAATCAACTCAATATCCATAAGAGATGGAAGAATTGATTACAGTACTAATATTTTAAATTTTAGACAGTTGAAGAATAAACTAAAGAAATTGAAAAATGGGCATAAAAATATTAGACTTTGCAATAATAATATCAACAATTATAACAATAAAACCAACAAATACAATAGAAAAATTAGGAACTAGAATAAGTAGTTTAATTACTTAAATATCCATCTTAATAAGAAATTAAATCAACTGAAAGTTAAATTCAATTTTATTTTATTTAGGTCTTTAATCTAAGAGATTTTATTAATCTGAAATTAGTAGAAAAGAAAATAAGTTTGAAGTTGATGAAAATAAGTTCATTTCTTAATCAAAACTATTATCTAAATAAGATGAGATCAATTAATTAAAATTATAATTAGGATAATTAAAATAAGAACTTTTGGAAGAGAAGTAAATACATAGAGAATTACTTGAAGCTGAAGAAGCTAGGGTTAGAGATTAAGAGAGAAAGAACTTAAATTAATATAAAATAGAAACTAAAGAACAATTATTATTATACAAAAATTAAATTCAGGCATTATAAGATATGTTAGATAATAAAAAATCAGTTTAAAAGTAAGATAACTTTGAAGAAAAGAATAGAGAACTTAATTTATAAATTTTAGATAAGAATAAGAAAATAGAATTATTGGAAAACTTAATTACATAAAAGGATTCATAATTAAATTTATTATAATAACAATTGGAGAAATATTAAAAAGAATAAGTCTAATTAATCAAATAATAATAATCATAAAAATAACTTACACTTCCTTCATCATCATCTACATATAGAATAGTTTCAACTTAAAATTCTTCACTTGATAATAATTATAACTCCATAATAAACCTTAATAAGACTAACTCTATTTAAGATTAAATTAATTAAACTATGGCTTAAATTAATAAATCTATTCAATAGGTTGATCAAATGAAATAAACTAATAGTGTCAATCAAAAAATGTTTTAGGATTAATTTAACAATAATAATGTTCAAAGTTCTTTGAGAATTTCACAAACACCATAAATGCAATCAAATTTAAGCATACAAGATAAAATTAAAGCTTTAACCTCATTGACACAATAGTAAAATAGTTAAAATTATAATAAATATATATGAAATGAATAATATAACAATTATAAATTAAAACTAATTAATTACTTTTCTATCAATATTATAATAAACTAAATATTAATTATCAAAATAACCAAAGTAAAATTAGATTAAAAAGAATTATAATCTAATAAAAATACATTGAGTATCAATTATCATAAATATTTAAATAATATGTAGGATTTAGAAAACAAATTAAATATTTTGATTAATAAATATCTTGATGTTGAAATACATATTTTGAATATTGTTAACTTTGCTTTATTATTATTAGATAAATTTAATAATTTGAGTGTTTGATTTTAATTATATTTAATATATAAATTATATATAATATATAAATTATATATATATTTTTTATTGTTAATTTCTCAATAAACTCTAATTAAAATAAAAAAGAAGTTTTATCAACCTCATAATCTGTTGAATATATGATCTAATGTTCCTTTTCTTTAAAAATCTATCTAATATGCAAAAAATTTGTTAAATATTCACAATATTAAAGTTCAGCATATTCCGTTCTTAGTCATAACTGAACTCATCTAATAATATTGATTATATTTCATACATTAACAGAAGTTTATTCGGTTATTATTTTATATGATTCTTCCATAAGAAATTTCTTTTGACTTTTCGCTGGTAATTAGTAGTTTTATTAACATTTGACATTACATAAGGGACAAGCCAAGAAAGATTGAATTAATAATTAATTAAATTAGATGGATAGTATTAGCACTTGCTTATTCTTATTGAATGGAAAAAGTGATAAGGAAAGTGAATGTACTAAAGATGAGCTTAATGATTCTATAGATTTGTATATAGACTCAAAGATAAGTGAAATGGAAAGACGAGTTGTGAAGTATTTACATGAAAAAGGAATATAAACAAAAACTGATCCTGAATTAAAGTAATAACAATATTGGAATCAAAGAAGGATTGAAAGTAACAAACAATTAGAATAATTTTGGAGTCAACCAAAGTTATCATTGAATTCTTCTGTTAATAGATTATTAAGTGGGAGAGAATCTTCATTTAGCAAATATTTTCATAAGAGTGGAAGCTCTCTTTAAACATTCCTAACTTCCTGACTTTAAAAACAAAGAAATTGAGTTAATTAAATGTTATTATAGTTTATATGCTTATGATAATTTAGTTAAAATTTTAAATTTTAAACATCTAAATATATACATATATACAAGTAATTTAATTGGAAAAGATAGTAAATAAATAATTTTTATAATTAATATAAGTATAAAGATATTTAATATATATGATGATGACTCTGATAATGAGATAAATTTGTTGTTATATAGGAATATAATTTCTCAAGATTTTGTAAAATTATATTTCTTAATTTATTAATATTTTAATATAACACATAGAAGTAGTATAAAATATATCTATATATATAATATAAATATTGAAAAAATACAATTCAACGATTAATACAGCCAAGGGAAATTAGTATACGTTTAAAGAAAGTTTGTTAGGGTTGTTCAGACACTTGTTAAGTATGTTGGAATACAAAATGTTAGGATCTCTATTTCATATCTTCCCATTCTTTATTAGTAGTTTTGCGTTCAGACATCACAGTTTATGAAGTTTATAAAGGAGATTGATTTTATTCATCAATTAATAATGAGACACTTCGATAAGTTAAGTTTTCATTGAGAGGTTAATGTTATTTAATTTTTGATTACATCCAACGATGATTAAGGATACCTTATATAGAAGGTCTATTAAAAGGGTTCTGTTAGAGAATCATAGCTATAAGAGATTTGCAATCTTCTGTAACATATTCATCGTATTTAAGTGGCAATCCAGATAGAATAGCTGAACATTTTTCTTAATCATTTCTTCCTGTAAATGGAGGCTTTCCTTATACCATTTCATAGAGTAAAACACCCAAACACCATATATCAAGTTTATAATTAGTACTCTAAGATTTAATCATTTCAGGTGCCATATATTCGATTGTGCCACAAAACGCTTTTTTCAAATTTCCCATTTCAGTTGACCAACCAAAATCACAAATTTTTATATTTCCTTTGTTATCAAGCAAGAGATTTTCTGGCTACACAATAGAACTTAAAAATAACCTTTATGTCTCTATGTATAATTTTTTGTTTATGTAAATAATCGATTCCAAGACAAGTTTAATAAAGATAATGAGAAGCTTCATCTTCAGAGAGATGACGCTGTTTCTTTATCTATTTAAATAAAGAACCACCTTCTGCATATTCCAGTATCAAATATACATTAGTCTAACAATATAATTTAGTCTTATACCTTATCTTCAAAATAACTATCTAATTTAATTATGTTTGGATGGTTTAATTTACGTTAAATTTTGATTTCCCTCTTTAAATTGTCAACTGTGCAGTATTTAAACAATTCTGCCTTTTTCATCTATAAACTATAACAAAAATTATCTATACAGCCTTCATTGCCAATAATTTGCCTGTTGATATCTCTTTAACTAGAGTGACCCAACCAAATGAACCTTATCCTAATGTCTATTACATAGCTTAAAAGTCACTAAAATCTATTAAACATTTGTACCTTGATGATTTCTTTCGAATTGTACTGGAAGATGCTTTACTACTAGATGCTGGTCTATTTGAACTAATTTTAATTTTGTGGACTTACAAATTAGTTTCATGCTTATTGGCTGATACATTTAATTTCAAACTTTTACAATCACAAGTAGTCTCTGAATAAGTTTTATTGGAGTTCATTAATATAATAAATATAATATCAAAATTGAATTTTGATCTAAAAGCCAAAATAACACAACATGATCTAAGCTACTATTAATTAGACAAATAAGAATTCCCACAATTGTTCATGCAAAAAGTCATAAACACTATAGGCCATAAACATTCCTCCAAGATGACGACACACTTATGATAATCCTAAAATCATCGTTCGGTAATCCTTTGATTATCGACCAAGTTACTGAATGGATATCGGTTGTTATATTGTAATGGAATACTCCTTGCATCAAACTAGCTATCAACAACATTAAATCTGACTACAAATAGATGTAACTCATCTTCAACATTTAACTAATTATACAAATTGATTCTAAAATAAAAATTAATTTACATGAAATTTGATAAACTTATTTTTAAGTATATAATCCAATCATAAATTAATAGAAAGGTTTACTAAAAGCACCAAAAATGGATAGTAACATAATATCAATATATTTATTGCTGTTATCAGAGTTAAAATATTTAATATATGTCAAATTACTCATATTAATAACATAATTTACCTATAAAATAAAAACCCTTATAGTGTTTAACAAATAAAGTATATATAAATTTATTCATTAATTTTTGATAATTTTGTGAATAATTTTCTCATGGTTGGTCTATGTACTTTAATTTAAAAGGTTTGAATAATTGAAATCTATTCATTAGAATTCTTACTAATTTATTAATTAATCAATATTACTATTCTTCATAATTTAATACTGAATTATTTTCAGCACACTTTTCAATATATTTAATATAAATATCAAATTCATTATCTAAACATTCCTCCATTAAAGGAGGAAGACGAGATGATTATTTCAAGAATATTATTAATAAACAAAATTCAGCAACACAAATTAAGCGAAAAAGAGAATAATCAAATCTCTTACAAACTATACCAATTAGACAAAAAACTATAGTTATCAAATATCCAACATTAACAGATATTTTTATAAGTTAAAATCTTATCATTTGAAGTACCTGATTCATGTATCCATTAATAATAGATTTAATAATAAAAGTAATTAAAACAATGATATCTTGTTACATCTCCATAAATAATATGCAAATCAAAATGATTTAAAATATTGAACAATAAAATTAACAGTGTTACATATATTTATTTAAAGCCACCAATTAACCTAATGTATAACATCCAAAATATATTAAAAGTATTAATGGATTATCATATACAAACATAGCTATACAACTATCAAATATATGAATTATGTGTCCAAAACCTATTTTTATTTTTATCATTTATACATATAGTAAAGAATAGTTTACGTTAGAAATCAGTTTGTCTAACATTATTAATTTGATCTTGTAAATTTGATAGATGAATTGAAGCTGTTAATTTATCTTCCAATTCAATTATCATTTTTATTTTATATATAATTTCTTATATTATATAATCTGGTGATAGTAAATATCAATATTTATAAATTCATATGTAAATTATCAAATTACTTAGTTATTATCAGATTTTGATGAAAATAACCTACTAATTATCTATTTTTAAGGTGTTCTTTCTAAGAAGTTTTTTGGTTTTCCAGAACCTCCTGTTGATTAAAATGTAAATTATTATTTAGTACTTGATTAAGGTGATTATAATGAAGGTAATTAATGATTTTGATCATTCTATTCAATATTTTTAAATTTCTAACCAAATCTTAATTATAATGGTTATTCCTAATTATCTCTAAGATGTTAAGCAGTTCTTGATTTTCTTGAAATATCCTCATCAGGTAAATTAAAATTAATAAATTCATTAACAGGAGTAATTGTTTATTTTGAAGAATTAGTTCTTAAAGCAGTTTCTTATTATGATTATTATCCAATAGATCCATATCCTATAAATTGATTAATGTTAATTTTTTAAATAGGAGGCTTAATTCGTGGAAGAAAGGCTGTTGAATTAGATTTTTACATCTATTCACTATTGAAATGAGATTATCTACTGTTTAATAGAGCTTTTTAATAAGAAGGATATTCATGTTAAATATGTTCTTCAGGTGTTTTTGTAGAATTGTATTTAGAAATTGGTTGTAGGTCTGCCATACTGATGTTGAATTCTTTTTAAGTAGTTTTGGGAGTCTAAAAAAATCTTCCATTTGAACTTTTTTGGATGTTTGGGGCAACAGAATTATTTTGAGCAATGTTTAATTACTCAGTATTAGATTTTGGTTGAGGTGGAGAGAAAGGTTTTACTGATGGAACTTTAATCAATTTGGGTGGAGAGCTAGTTAGGTAGCACTTCATACCCATATTTATGCATAACAGGGGTTATGTATTGATTCTATACAAATTACTTTGAGGATTTAGCAATACTTTCTTGTTAAGATGGCTATGAGGGTCGTTTTTGATTAACTTATTGATTTAACACATTCTTTTTTCCATCAGAATTAATTTTGAATGCTTGATCTTTTGTATTTTTGAAAGGGACTCTTTATAATTGCTTTTATTATAATTTTATAGTTTAGCCTAACGAACCCAATTATGGATTAAAGAATTGAGCTGTTTACTTCATTTCTTAATGCAAACGATTATGATCAAATGAAGATGAATCTTAGTGATTAATCATTTGCTTTAAATAATAATTAATATATCAATAACTATTAACATCATCCAAACTTGAATACTTAATGATAAGTTTCAATTTTATTATTAAAAATCTATATGTTTTTCTTGAATATTAGTTTAATTTTTAATCTATTAAATTAAAATATATATATATATATATAAACCACACAAACAATAATCAATCATTATCCAAATTTAAGTATAAAATATTGAAATTGTAATATCAATTAATTCAAGATTTCTTATATTGATTATATGTTCAATTAAGGGGTTGTTAATTTAATCTATAATTATGTTAATTAAGCAGCCATCCCTTTAATAAATTAATCCATTCCTGTTACAGGTTATATTTAAACTTATTAATTTTAAGTTAACACTTATAAATCATTTCTTAATTTAACAATATGTTCTTCTATCTTTTATAATCTATCCTCAGATTAAATATTTTATTAAGGTTATTATTATTATTAAAATTCTGCTAATTTTAATCCTTTCTTAGCATCCTCATATTATTTTACCATAGATTCAGTTTATTATATCAATTAATCTAATTTTTATAATGCCTCTTATCCTGGTCTATTATTTTCAGCCAATTAGGATATATTTTTACTTAAAATTTAAAGTTGTTAAGTAGAATTGTCAATGAATGCATTAAAATTAGCCAATTTAGTTTAGTCTATGAATTACATATCATTAAAATATTAAATAACTTTATCAAATATTAAAACTACTCCTTAAGACATTTTAGCTAATTCAACTTAATAAAGTTAACCTATTTATTCTTTTAAATAATCATTAGTTGTATTTTAGATTAATTATGTACACTATATATATATATATAATATTTACTTCAGGTTAAGATATTTATTGATTAGCTAACAACTTCAAATGATTACCTATTCTTTCATCGATTAATTACTCAAAATAGGTTTAATTAAAATTATCCATTAAAAAGTTTTCACATGTTTGTTGATATAATTCTAAATTTTAAGTAACAACATTTTCCATTTAAATTTCTAATTAACATAAATCTTATTTAAATTATTATTCTAATTTAAGTAATGCTTATTAATCATTTTAACCAAGCTTATCTAAATCTTTTTTTACTTAAATTTCAATCAAATCTTTAATGTCAAAAATAAATGTAATATCTTCAATTAAATCTTTTTTAACATCATTACTTATTATTTAAAATTATTATTATTGTTAACATTATTAAACTTTAGGAATCAACTCATTTTCTATTATTTCATTTGCTTTAATAACTGGATCAATTTAATTATTAATATTATTTTATATATTGTTATTATTTTCCCATCGTTATTATTTTTATAATTATTATACATCTTCTTCTTTAATATAAGGAGGTGGAATTAATTGAGATTATTGAATAATACTGGAACCTTGTTTCTTTGAAGTATTTTAATCATATAATTAAAGTAAATTTTCAGGTAAAACTGCACCAAGAACAAGATCACTATAAAACCAACATAATTCAATTTTATCTTTCTTTTCAGATTATAATCCAAAAATATAAGGTAATTCATGATCTGTAAATTCTAATTCTTACTTTTAGAAATCTTTAAATCCTTATTAAAATTCTAAATATTCTTTTTCAGATTCACATTTATTTCCACCATGTAAAAATTTTGTTGTTTATTCAGGTGGTATTATAAATTATATAAAAAATGAAGAAGTTGATCTTTCTTTAACAAATTTTTTGATATGTTTAATTTTGCTCTATTCTTTTTTTAATATCTAAATTGTATGATAATTAATTTAATTACTTAAGATTGATTCAATTGAGCTATATAAATTTGTACAGCCATTTCTTATGTTTAATATAAAATGAAAAGAAAGTTTTATGTCGAATCTATTTAAAAATCAATTAATTCTACTTCTTATTTACTTTAAATAGATTTTAATATAAATTACCTTTCACTAAATTTAAATTTGACAGATTCATTTGGCAATAGACTTGAAGTATGTAAATCTTCTTTTTCGAAAGACCAAAAAATAATCCTTTTTTAAATTGTGATTGTAAATAAAGAAATTTAATTATTATGTTCAAATAATTAAAATTTTAAAGGTTCTGATTCTGTATATTTAAGATTATGTTCATTAATAATTTATAATGTTTTCGAATTGAGAACTTATAATTTGGAATCTTAAGTAAGAACAAATATATATTTTAAACATCTAGAAATAATTACTTATTTTGCTATTTGTTTTAATTATGATTTGATAATTTTATTGTCTAATTAAATTAGATATATTTAAGTATTATCAATTAGAATTGCTCCTATTTATTATGAAGAATATAATTTAGGTAATTATAATCCTTCTATTTTGAGCTCAATTGTCAAAGAAAATTGATATTGACAATTAATTTTGAAAAATTAAATTACCTCATTATTTTGGATTATTATTAAATAATATGAATGTTCAAAATAAGCAAGAACAAAATCTGATATATCATTATCTGTATTTAGATAATATTTTTCATAGCTATCAATACATGAAACTAAGTAAAGACATTTAGAAGATTTTTTGCATACAAAGAGATAATCTAAACTCTTGATTTATAATGCATGATAATTTTCAACATCAGATACATCAACAGTCTCTTAATCTATTATTGTATTTTAATTAGATGCACAAGTGTACCTATCATTTGAATTAGAATTTTACTTGTAATGATTGATACTTGAAGACATATAAATGTGTATAAATAATTAATATTTAATATATTTATCAATTAAATTAAATAACTTTGAATATATTATTTTATTTTCATAATTCATTTGTAGATCAAATTTATATAATATTAAATATAGTTATTATATCACATATATTATAGTAATCATATTAAAAATTTCTCTAATACTTAACTCTAAATCAATAACATTTCCATTATTTCAAATTAATTCTTTTATGCTGATATTAAATAATCTTAAGAACAGTTTTTTTTATTGACACCATATTATTACATAGTTGACTTAGGTATTCCATATAAGTTCCCAATTTAATTAGAACATGAACTTTAAGACAATGATTCTGATCCAATATTAAATTATAAATTTTCTGAAAAATTAGCTATAGCATGTAATTTAGCATTGAGTGTATTTTCAGAATAAAATAACTCCTTTTATAATTAAGTTAAATCATTAGCAATAGATTCAGGTTTCAAATTGACAATTCTATCAACAAGACTTTTGTATTATTTCCCAAAATATAAAGCATCACCTAATAAATGATTCTATTATTAATAATTTTTATTACAATATTAACTTAGTTTTCTTTTAATTCATTTCTCAAATGAGTAATTTCTTTATCTTTTATTTATTAAATTTAATTGCATTATGCTTAATAAAAAGCAAATGTCTCCTATTTATAATTCTCTAATTGTGTTTTACACATTTCTTAAGCATTCTTATATAATATTTATATTATACTTATAATTGCTATAAACTTTATTTCAATTAAATATTTTCATTTTCATATTCATGAAATAAAGTATTATATTATTCTTTTTCTTCTTAATGAATTAGATCTTTAGATTTGAATTCTTCAATAGATTATAATAATTTTTCAATCTATATAATAATAAATTTATTAATTTTACTTCTTATTATTTTAATTCTAATTCTTATTTTATTGATGTAATTTAATTATTGGAATCTTAGATCTATACTTATTATTATTTATTTATATTCTATAAAGTAGATATTTATTCATTTAATTTATTTATAAATTACTTTTTCTATTCTAATTCATCTATTTAAAACTTTATTATTTTTTAAGAACCAGATACATTATTTTATTATTTCTAATGACTTGATTTAAATTTATCACTACTAATATTAGATTCCTTATTACTCTTATTATGTGAAATAGGAGTTTTACTATTCTCAAAGTTACAACTACTAAACCGTTGATGATGTGATTTATTAATTGACTTTTATGCACTATTAGATTCAGGCTTAAATTTATTCTGAATTTTAGTTAATTGTTTATTTAACTTATCTATTTATGAACCTCCAAATGATTTTTATTTTATTTCTTCTATTATTTCATACACAATACTAACGATATCTTTTACCATTGATTAGAATTAAGATGTTTAATCATTACTAATTTCTTATTTCTCAATAGTAGGTCTTTAATTTAGTTCTTGTATTAAAAGAAAGATCATATACTTTAGTAATATCAGATCTGTACTTCTATAAAAGTCATAACACGTTTATGCATTATCTAAACAGAAAAGCTTCATTTTTGCAATTATTGCTGCACAAGTATTATGATCATTTTCTTTAGCATATTTTAAAAGTTTCACCTTCTTCTCTATTTACATTAAGACAGGTAAAGTTGATTAGGAAATGGTTGAAATTTAAGAATATTTCTATAGATGAATGTCAAAAACATTCTCATTTTAAGTAAAAGAAGAGCATGAAGCCTTTTCAGTAGGCTTAATCAATCTTTCTGTCCATTACTCAACATCATGTTTCTTAACTTACAAGTAAGGTATAGGAGATGATTTCTCAAGTAATTAGTTAATTTCTCTACATGCAAAAGGTCTAGGTTAAAGAGGTGAGACAGAGTGTTCACTTGTTTTTTTATTGCCTGAGTATAGATTTTAGAGTTTCTAAAGTAGCTGACTGCTTGATGATGAGTTCATTTATAATTAACAGATATTTATACTAGGTTTAGTAAACCTATAAAATATAATAAAAACAAAACAATGCTTTTTTAAGACAGATTAAACTTATGTAAATAATTCATGTAGTATAATAATAAATATTCATCTTTTGAATACAATTCAAGCAGTGAATATTTATATATTTTACTGAGAAACATCAGTAATATTATTTAAAACATTTCTTTCAATCTTAAATGCTTTAACAAATTATCAAATATAAATATTCACATTAATCAACTCAATAACAATCAGAATTCTTACATATTTTCAATTATACTTTTAAGAATTTAAATAATATATTGTTTAAAAGTAAATATACAATTTATATCCAATCATTTTCAAATACCAAATCATTTTGATCTTTGATATACCCATCCAGCAACTCCTATTGTAATTAAAATTAAACTAATAATCTAAAAATTTGATCTATTTTTATCATAATAACTATTTTTAGTATTATTAGAGATAGATGGATTAGTTTGATTTTTCTCTTTAGTATCAAAACAATAAATTAAGGCTTCTTTTTTATCCTCTTATATTTAATCGTATGAATAGACTGTTTGCAATTCTTCTTTTAAAGTTACGATTCCTAAATCTTAAAAACTTGCATTAGAAGATATTGATGCTAATGATTTTTAATTTTATGATTTAATCTATTATTCACTTAAATATTCCATCATCTTTTCTGAATTCTTACTGCTATCAATAATAACTGATTTAAAATGCCAAGGCTTTTTAGGAGATATTTATATTAAATCCTAAAGATATTCATTATCATTTGATTAATTTTCCTTTATTTCATCAATTTCTGATTTTACTGTATATTATGAAAGTTTTCTTTATTTAATTTCACCAAGATTATGACTAGTCTTAAATCTAAATCTTTATGGAATTAATATTTATTCTGTTTATTTTTATAAATTTGATTAATCTTCAGAATTATCTTGAAAATTCATTTGATTTTATTATTATTTAATGTTTATAATAGTTTAGATAATTTCTAAGATATCATCTTCAGAGGATATATTTGATTCAGTTTTATTTTATATTTACATTTACAAATTGATTAGTAACTCAAATTAAATTAATAAATAATATACTTGTATCATCAATATCAATAGTATTTTTATCAATATTAGTGTATTTTTAATTTATTGTTCTTTTTTGATTTAACTAAAATAGTTCTATCACTGTTTTCAATTATTTAATCAATCTTTAATTGAGATTGATACTATTTTCTTTAAATTCATCATAAAATTTGAGATTAGTTTAAATTTAATCTAAAACCTTATTAATTTAATATTTTATTTTACAAATTTATAACGATTTTTTAATTATTGTTTTTATTAAGTTAGAGAAGTCTAAATTTTATTAAATTCTTCATTCTCTTCTTTTAATAATAAATATCTCTCTCTACATATTCTTATTCCTTCTTTAAGATCACAAATATTTTATGTTATTGAAGGATAAGTTTTAATTTAATTTATCGATATTTCAATCTAATGTAAATGAGATTCTTTAAAATCAAGATCAAAATGAAGTTTTTCTCTTTTATTTTTGATATTCTTTATTACTGAATATTATCTCTCTATATTATTTTGATAGTTGTTTAGATCTTATGTAATTTAGAATATTTTTGAATTGAGTTATGATATTCTAATTTCTTTTCTCTAGTATGTACTTTCATAAGTTTAGATAAATAATTCAAACAGTTTAGTCATTTATGAATTGCCAATGTTCATTCCATGCTTTTGAAGATATTGATAAAGTATTTGAAATATATGATGGTTTTATGTCAAACAGATTTCATTCATAGATTTTATTTTATTTACAAATATATAAAACACCATTAATAACATTAATAATCAATTTAGTTTCATTCTATGGTTTATGTTTCCTATATTACTTGTTCTGGTTATTTTTCCTCTTCTTTTTCTTTTCTTTATTCAACTAAACTATTTTGATATGTTTCAATTGTTTTTTAATATTATGACTTAACAATTGTAATGATATTCAATTATTATAAAGCTGTAAATAAGAGTTTTTTAAATTCTTCAAACTTTTAAGCTTCAATAAATGTTTTGAGTGATATTAATTATTCTTTTAAGTATTTGATTAATTCTTTATTGTTATAATTCTCTCTTAAAACATTAAGTCTAGACTTTAGTTCTTCAAATGAAGTTGTATAAAGACTTGAGATTGGTTAGACAACAATTACTTTATATGTGAATAAAGTGGCATTCAAATGTTATTTAAAATTGAGTGTAACAAAGACCTTTAAGTTTTGAAGTTTTTAACCACCAACTGTTTGAATCTCATTCTTTAATAATGTAAAGAGTCCTTATGTTAATTCTGTAAGATTATGAGCTAATTAAACAGTTCTTTGATTATAGGTTTATTCTGAACTTTTGGCTTTAGCTTCTTTCAAAATAGCCTTCTATAATTTGGCTATATTGCCTTCAATTGAAGTAAAGACTTTATTAGCTACATTGTCGCAAGTATGTAACACAAATTAAGTAGCGCCATTGTTCTTGGCCAAATCAACTCCTTAATCAAGAGCTTTCTTTGAGTTCTCTCTTATTTAATCAGTAAGTTCTTTTCCTTTCTACTTGAGTTTCTATCCTTGTTCTGCTATGTTGAATGTTTTTTCATATGATTGAACTATCTGGAAACTTCTATTTATGTTATCATCTACAGTGTCTGTCACTTTTTAAACATAGGGTTGAGTTACTGTGTCTGCATAGATAATGATGTTTTCCACAAATTTAGGTGCTCTATTAATTATAAGTTTAAAGTTTACTTTAATGGAAGTTTTGAATAATTTGTGGTGATTAAGGACTTTGTTTTTGATAAGATGTTTCCAATGAATTTCTATTATTCTGACATGTAATTTAAATTAATGATTAAGTGATCAAGGAATGAAGAGCAACTTAAGAACTCATTTCATTATGATGTAAAATCAGTGTTTAATACGCATTTGACTTTAAATAATTTCTGATTTACAGTTTGCAATGCAAAATAATTAATTTTAATGACGGTATAATTAATGGAAAACCTTATATTAATAATTACGACATTTTTGTGCTCTTGCACATCAAATTCAACGTCTTATCATTCTGATATAAAATTGATATCTTTGAAAATATAATATTTAGATCTTTTCAATATAGAATTACAATACTTTGAATTCTATTGAATTTAAATATTAAGACATGATAAAAATGAATCTTTGTTATTTTCATTGATATTATTCAAAATATAAACAAATAATATTCATAATCATCAATATGATTTCAAATGATTTTCAGATATAACATTTTTCCATTAAAAATAAAAAATAAAATATATTTTCTATCCTCAAAAACAAGGATATGTATATCAAGTAAATCATCAATTGTAATTTCAACATATACTCTTATATAATTAACATATAATTTTAAAGAACTTCAAATCATTCATTCGATGGTTATTCTTTAAATCATATATACTAACTAAGCATTAAATCAAATTACAATACACATAAATGTGCTACTTTATGTATATAAACAAATAAAATCACTTTCCTTTTTCATACTTTAAAAATATTCTGAACTTCCAAAACTTAAACTATTATTATTAATAAATTATCCTTACTAATTAACAACCTACTCTTTTTTCGTTATTTTGAGATCATTTCAATCAAATCTATATTTATAACCTTGTGATTTTATCTTATTAATACATGTCATTAGAAATAAATAATAACTAAACAATTATAAATATATTTCTAACTCTACTTATCCAATTTTTATATGATTCAAATACAATTATAATTAAATAATTTAAGAAAGGTTTATCAATATATTTTATGACTTATAGTGAATATTATGATATTAATAAAAGTAATTGGATGTTATGAGTTTGTTTAATTTATAAATTACTTAATTGATTTAATATATAAATATTTTCTCAAATTAAAATTGGTAATAGAAAATAGATATTAATATAGATTGATGAAAATTTGATAAATCTTTTTTTTCTGTTTTATATTAATTATATGAATAAAGAACTTTTCTTATAAATTTTAAATGAAATATAGAACTTAAATTAATTTACAATATAATACGCATTATTGAATTCACTACATCATTAAATATAAATTCATAAAATTAATTTTACACTGATATAGATTAAATGTGACTTTTTAATGGTTTTATTAAGAATTTTCTTAAAAATAAGGGCAATTTTGCCATTCATTTTTGAACTATAGAACACTTTAGTATATCTCATAACATAAAGTTTAACAGTAAAATTTATTCTTTGAATATGATATAATTTAGAATTTTACATATATTTCTTTAATATATTTAAAGAATTCATTATACACTTTGAATAGATTAAATGAGTACATTAGCTTAGTTAATGGAAGTTAAAAGTGAGAAATTGCTCAAAACTTAAGGAGATTCAGATGGAGTTATTCCTGATTCTGATCAGGAAGAAAAATTGAATAGTCCATACAATAAAGAGACACCAAAATCAACAATAAGGCCTAAAAAACGCTTGAGATTTAGTGGAATGAATTAAGTTTGCTATTACTAATAAGGATCAAAAAGAGATATGTCACCTTCTCAAACAAGATAAACATTGATATCTACTCATTCAATACTTAAAAATAAGGAAAGCCCAATTTTTTTGAGAGAAAATAAATGATATAAAATATATATTTTTCTTATTATTTTCCTATCTACTGCTCTTTTTCATTTTAAAAAGATAGACAAAATAAATTTGATGATTTGTAATAATTGATTTTTGTAAAACAATCAAACTTTTAAAAAAAAAGATGTATAAAGAATACTAAAAATAAATACTAATAAATGAAGAATATCAAATAAAAATAATAAATGCAGCATAGTTAATTTATATTTTATCATTATATTGATTTTGTAATGAGTTAATTATTATTAGAAATAGGAGATTAATTAAATTATTATATTTTTTTATCCTCTTATTTCTAAAAATATAATCATTTTATATACCATTTAAATATTATTTAATTAAATAAATAAGGAAGAGGTTTATAGTTCTTAACGAAAAGAATTCTAAATTTAGTTATAATATTTACTTATTTTATTGCTAAAATACATGTTCCTAATTGAATAGGAGTTAAACATTCTTTAAGTTATTCCCATATTTAGTCAATCTAAGTGGTTTCACTTTGAATTAGTTTTAATTGATCCTTAATTTTTTGTATTGAACTAAATTTTTGATTAATAATACTCAGATATATTATTTCTGATACTCATTATTTTTGATTCCATTCTTTTGACTTCAATAATTTGATCCTATTAAATTTTTGTTTTTTTAAATGTCTCTTTCATCCATTCAGTATAATCACTAATGATAATAATAAAAGCTACTCTGATTATAATGCAAAGAAATCTTTATTCTATTCTATAGAATAAATCAAATATTTAGTTTAGATTGGCAAGCATACTTCAATCATAGAATCAAAGTATTATCTAACAGCATCATTACGATTTTGATTATTTTAATTAGTTAATTATCTTAATTCATCTAAAATCATTGAAATTTCAAAATTATCTTAATTTTTCAATATGCAATTTTCCAATTTATCAAATAATAATTATTATTAATCTAAAAAAGTTTAAAACTATATTATTATATAAAATATACATTCTCTGTATTTTTATTACAAAATTAATTGTCATTAGTTTGATAACAATTATTTTCCTTTAATCTTTTTACTTCATCTTGCAATTATTTCACTTTTATTTCCATAAGTTCATAATATAGTTTCTTTCTGGCTCTTGAATTTCTAGCAGATTCTCTATTCTTAGCTAATTTCTTTTAGATTGAATCCATATTTCCATCAGTAGTCAATTGAATAGATTATATTTCATTAGATGAGACATCATATTGATATCTAGAAATTTTTGATAATTTTCTCTACTATTTTTATTTATTTTTCCTAATTGAATAGAATTTCTTAATTTTTACGATAATTTTGGAAATGTATTCATTTCAAAATCCATTTATTTCTGTTCTTGAATTAATTGTGTTATTTTATTTGTATAAAAACATTTAGTTTAATTAACATTAAAATGATTTTTGTTTTCTAATACCTTATTTTGATTAGCATCTTATTTTATTTCTGACTTGAATTAAGAATTGATTAATTTTCCAAATTCTAAATAAGATAATCAAATTAATATAATATACTTATTTTATTATTGTATTCCTTAGAAAATGGTTCACTATTTCTAATTTAATTATCTTATAATGGATTTTTGTATTCTTTTGAATCTTAAAGTAAATTTACTTATAGATTCAAATTATCAACTCCAATTTCTTCATATTTCATTTCAATATCTTAACTACTCTTAAAAAAGAATGGCATCTATATTTAAGGTTCATAGAATTCATAGATTTAAATAGGTGTAACACCTTCTTCCAAGCCAAATGAACAACAATATTATTCAGGTTGACCCAGAAATCCATAATTGTGAATAAGACTTCCTCCAAAACTTTAATTGTCTTATTGTATTCTACCAAAGTTAGTGGATAAACTTTGTGAATAATTAATAGTAGTATACATATCTTGCAGACTTCCCAATCCACTATAATTTTATTAAGATATCTCACTTCTATTAGGCATAAAAAAATCACTCATTATTAATAAACAAATTTAGAAACTTATTCTTCCGATAAATTAATTATAATAAAATGCTTACTCAGTTAATAATTAATAAAATTAAAATATGTATAAATTCTAACTCCTATCTAGTTTAATTTTAAATTAGATATAATATTCAATCATTTAGATTCTTATTTATCATGATATTTGTTACTAATTGATAATACATTTGTTCTTTTTTGGAGAAGTTCATTCCTGATGGACTAAGGTAGACTATTAATAATCCAAGGATGATCTAAAGCTTATTCTGGTGTCAATCTTTAATATTGATTCCATTCTAGACACTTGCTTATGAACTAATATTACATATATTTTATACATCATAAAAATCTGTATCTGCTTTTTCAAGTAATTGTGAAAGAGGTTTCAATAATGAAATTTATTCATTTTCTTTTATTTTATAATTGAGCTAGTATTTATCATCAAAAAATTTTGATCTTTTAGGACTTTAATCAATTACTTCTTTAGGAGGCATTCCAAGTACTTTAGTTTAAGCATAAAGTAATTCTTTTTCAGATTTAGATTGAAATAGAGACTCTCCTACAAAGAGTTCAGCAATTATACATCCAAAACTCCACATATCTATTTGAAATGTATAATTTATTCCAAATATAATCTCAGGAGCTCTATAAAATCTACTCTTTATTTAATAATATATATATATACTTGAATATATGTATACATTTTATTATTAGCAAAGCAACTTGAACCAAAATCTATAACCTTTAGACCTGATTTAGTAAATTCCTTTAAGAGGATATTCTCTGGTTTTAGATCACAATGAATTATATTGCATGCTTTCAAATAAAGTAGAGCTTATAGGATTTAGATAGCAAATCTTCTAATTAAATCTGGTTCTAAACCTACAAAATTATTTAAAGCTACAAATTCATAAAGATTACAACAAAGTAATTCAAAAACCATACACTTTCTAAATTAATTAAAATTTCTTACTATATGATTTCTAAATTCAAAATAATTCATTAATTTAATCAAACAATAAGAATTATCTGCTTTATTAATAATCTTAAGTAAATCTATTTCAATTAATGCTTATTAATAAAATTTCTCTCTATTCTTTATAATTTTAATTGCCATCTCCTTATGATGTTTATGATCAAAGACTTTAAAAACATAGCCAAAACTACCATTTCCTAATTTTTCTAGCATTTCATATCTAAAAGCTATTTAATCATGTTTTATAAATCTATAATCTCCACTAATTAAATAAGTAATATATAAATACTGTTAATTATCATATCCATGATTAAATAAGTTTCCTAAGGGATCTCTTTAGGCTGTTGCAATATTTTTAGGAGCAAGATAATATATAGTTTCATAATCAATTATTTCTTTCTTCTCAAATTCACTGAGTTACTCTGAAAAATATTGTAAAACAATTTATGTTGTTTAAGGAAGTTGAAATTAATCAGCAATTTACTTAATAGTAGTTTAAGGTTGATGAGTTGTCAATGAATAAGTTTTAGTTTAATTTCTTTACTTAATATTGTTAGTGATTTTATTTTAGAGATCCAAAAATTTTTATTAGTTTTTTTCAAGATGAAGCAGTTTTTCAGATTTACTTAAATTAGTATTTTGAAGAGTTGGTTGTAATTTCTGACTTGCTTCTTAATCTAATTATTCTGGATGGGTTCTTAGATGTAACTTTGTTATCTAAGGTATTAGATTACTAGTTATCTAAGTATTTATTCCTAATATAATATAAATTTGTGTTACTTTTAGCTTAATCAAACAAATGCATTTAGTCTTATTCTTTTATTAGAATTGATTTTAGTTAAAGATGATAGGATTTTTATTATCCTTTTGTTTAAGTTTCATTTTAATGAAGATCAACTTATATACATAAAATATAAACATACTATGATTGCTAAAACTAATTGGTTTGTTAGATTTTGTAATTTCAGGAGGAGATTTGATATTTTATCTTTGTGTGGCTCTACTAGTTATTGGTTAGTATTCTTTTATCAATTATTTTTGAGTTTATCGAGCAGGGTTAATTTTATAAGGACTTTTGCCAATAATATCAAAGCTTCTTATTTTTTTAGTAGAATTTTTGGTCGAGTACAAAGTAGTTGCATTTTATTTGGGTTAGATGTTGATGAGATTTAATAAACTGAGTTATTTCATTATATTCCACTTTAATGAAAATTAAAGTATTTACAGAACAAAAAGTATTTATATGTAAAAAATATTTAGTATTAACATAAGATAGGGTAATAAAAATATATAAATTTTAAGAAAATAGTATATATATTAGGAATCTTATATAATAGAAAATCATAATTATCTATATTAATATGTTTCCTTTTGTTAACAATCTATTTCGAAATGATTTCCCTATGTTCTTATTTGATGATCACTTCATTCCAGGACCAGGAATAAGAGTAGGAGTTCCTAGACCACCATACACCAATAGACAATATAGAGATTAAGCTCCTAAAGTAATTTCAATTAGATAATTTAGAAGCCACCCAGTTTGAAGTTGATGTAGAGTGTTAGAAAACCATTGAAAGATTATACAGAAAACCAAGGATAGTATTGGGCTATCTTAGGAGATGAAGCATATGAAAAAGGGGATTTCTTTCAAGCTATAATTCATTATACTAAAGCAATTGAAATTTCAGAGGGAACTGAAAGCTCATTCTTTCGTAGTAGAGGATTATCCTTCAAAATGACTGGAAATTTAGATCCTGTAAAATATTTTTAATCACAATATTTAAGGCTTATCGAGATGCAATCCATGCTATAGAATTGGATGATAAAAATATAAAGGCTCATTTGCTTTGTGGATAAGTATTGGCAGAAAGAGGAAAGAAAGCTGATACTACTTAAGAAATTGAGACAGCAATAATTAGATTGACTAAGGCGAGAACTTTGTGTGCTGGATAAAAGAAAGAGTATTATGAAGATGAATTGAGTAAGTACATTTATAGAGCCAAAAAATTATTATGGTACAAAAATTAAGAATTAAATAATAAGAATAAAAGATTAGCTATTGAGAATTATAAAACTTATTTAAATTAAAGATAAGATCTAAGTCCTGAATTAAAGTAAAAAGAGTTGGAAGGATTCATAAATTCAATAGGGAATCCAGATTAAAAATAAGAATATGATATCCCCAGTTATTTAATATGTAAGATAACTTTGGTAATTTAATAATAATACTATTTTTATAGGAATTGATGGAAAATCCAGTTGTTAATGATGCTGGTCAAACTTATGAACGTGATATGCTTATAGAGGCTTTGAATAAGAATGGACCTAGTGATCCTACAACTAGATAACCTATTAGCAAAAGATTTTATCCAAATCTTAATGTTAAGTAAGCTACTTAAGATTTTCTATTGAATAATCCATGGGCATTTGAATTTTCAAAAGGAGAAGAGTATTAAAATATTGAGTTTTGATTATAATAAATGTTAGTTATAATCCGTTTTTATTATAATAAAAATAATGAGAGTCAGCATATTGCTATTAACAATTTTGATGATGGGAACATTAGCCTAAGATAATGAGGTTGTTGTCTAATTATTGGCTGAATTAAGATAAGAGGCAGTTGAATAATTATAACTTTTGAATGCTAGATTCTAACCAATCAAATAAGCCAAATTAGATTAAATTGCAGTGATTTAATAAGCAATTTCAGAATAAAAAGGAGAGTGCTACAACAGATAGCAAGATGTAATTAAGCATATCATAACTTTGAATAGGTTGAAGCTAAGCAAACTGAAATTGATTTGGCTAATGAATATAAGAATTGGATGAGAGCAAGATAAGAAAGCAATAATAATCGTATTGGAGTTCTTTCTACAAATGTATGTGAGAAGAATAATAATTCTTTAAATAAAGTGAAGAATGGAAGAGTTTTATTGAGATTGATTGCTTACTTAAGAGCAACTTTATAGGCTTAATTATCAACTTCATTTGCAGAAGTAAAAGAGAATACAATTTCTGAAATATCTCATATTGTCACTGCTTATAAAGAATATAGAAAGATGAATATGTTATAGACAAAATAAGAGGAATTAGAATTGAATGGCACAATTGAATAATTAATAGAGATGTTAAATTAAATGGAAAGAGAAATCTAAGATGATGTTGCCAATGGTTAAAATGGTTAAGTCCAAATTGGAGTTACTTTCTCAGAGTTCAAAGTCAGAATTGAAAAAGAGAATGACATTTTCAATAGATAAATTGAAGTCCAAGATGATTTGATAACAGTACTTAGAATCATTAACATTTCTAGCATTTCCAAAATCAATTGACAACATTATATGGAAGAGTCAACAAATGTGAATCAAGATAGAAGGAAATAGAATATACTTTATTGGTCGCCTAGGAAGATTTAAGATACGATTAAGAATGGGCTGATGAAGACAGAAAAAGATTGGAAGAAGAAATTGAATTATTTGATTGGTTAATTAAACATTACTAATCTGGTAATTTTGATGATGAAACTGATGGAAGTGGAAATGCTGATAATGGATCAACTGATGGATCTGCAAATGGACAATCAGTAAATTATAATGAAATCAATTAGGGTTTAACTGGAGATGATAGAGATGGAGTTATTGATTATACACCATTGAAAGAAGTATCAAATGCCTGGGGATCTGAAGATGAAGGTGATAATCATTAAAATGAAAATGATAATACAGAAAATAAGGCAGAAAAAGAAGATAGAGGGGATGTAATTGATTACACACCTTATGAAGAAAAAGATCTTGATTGGGATTCCTTATTGTAGAAAAAATAAAATAAGAATCATCGTTAATCAAAGAAACATCATACTCAAAAGTCCAAAAAATGATTTATTAATCAAATCATAGCTTATTTCATATAAAATGTTGATGCTTTTAAAATCATTAACAGTTCCGGTATAGTCTAGTGGTTAGGATATCAGGTTCTCACCCTGGGGACCCGGGTTCAATCCCCGGTATCGGAATAATTTTTTTTATTTTTTATAATATAATTAAACTATTCTTAATTACAATTTTATTTTGGTTGTTTTCAAACTTTATTTAATGAATACTAGTTGGAGATAAAAGTTCGAAAAGGACAAACAATATCCTAGACATCCCATGTCACATAAAAATGGTACTTTCTAGTTTTATTTTAAAAAGGCGGAGTTCATATGAATTAAGAAGACGATACCAAGCTTTTTTAAGTTGCTGGTGCCATGATGAAATAAATTGGTAGTAAGATAGCTAAAGGGGATTTTAATTTAGCTACTATTCCTAAACCAATATGTCTGACAGCTCCTTTGACATGCAATGAATGTCTTCTTTTGTAATGATTATGTTTATATTCTCAGTGATTTTGATTATACCAACCTTTATCTAACAGAGGCTGCTAAATGTAGAGATGCTTTGAGAAGAATGTAGTTAGTTGTGGTCAATGAAATTGCTTATCTACATGGAACACACACTTATTTAAGATCATTGGCTCCAATCGATCCTATGATTGGAGAGACTTGTCACAGAATAAAAGAAGATGGAACAGAATTTTATTGTGAATTCATTAAAGCTGATCCTCCCACTACTCTTTATCATGTTATTGGAGATGGTTGGCAAGTGTATGGAGGTGAGGTTGTCCTTGCTGAAATTCATCCAACATTTTCTTAACTGATTGGAAGAAACTTGAAGCCCAAATATATAAAGTTTAGTGATGGAAAAATATATGAGATTTCAGTGCCTGCCATGATTATCAATGGATTATTGAAAGGAGATCGTGTACTCAACAAATTGGATGGTTTTGTTATCAAGTGTGTACAAGATAAATTGGAGGCCCAGATAAATTTTAGTTATGTTTATGAAGATAGCACAACTAAAATAAAAAATAAGTTAATGTTTTGGTCATAATAATAATAAAAACCACTTTCAGATTTGGTTGATGTTAAAATAAACAAATTAATTAATGTAATTAATAATATTATTAATCAGACTGATGATGATAATAATAATTAAAGTTTCACTGTTTCAACAGGATCAGGATCATGGTTATCTTATTTTGAAATAGATGGGGATGTTTGTTGGAGAATAGATGATCCAATATCTTAATGGGAGAAACCATCAAATTTGATACCAAGTGATTCAGCATTTAGATAAGATAAAATACTTATGCTTAAAGGATAAGATGATGCTGCATAAATGTAATGAATTTACATAATCTAAGTGCAAGAAATAGTATTGAAAAATAAGGATAAAAGGATGCAAATTAAAGAAAAAGGAGGAGATGAGTGTTTATATATATATAAAATTATTATATCATTTATTCTAAAGATTTTCTTATTTCAAATGATATAATTTTTAAACTAATTAAAGAATTTATTGATCTAAATTGTTCTTTTCTTATTGCAAACATTTCTAACATCGAATACATTCTTTACATATAATAAAGTCATTTGAATAATTCATTGTTTTTAATAAAATTTAAAATAATTACTAATTGTTTTATTTTAACTAAAATTAATATTCTAATTAATATACATGTTCATCATCTAATTCACAAATTGCAGGTAAAATATAAATATCCAATAATTATTTATAATTTTAAGTTTCTCTTTCTATTTCTTATATTCTTAATTTTTACATCTATTAATCTTATTCATCGACTAATGTATTTTATTTTATCATTTCATGCTTTTTAATAAATATATCTATTGGAATAATCAAAGAATTAATATCAAATATATTATGATTCTTTAATTTGTATTTTTAAATAATGATCATACAACCATATGCTTCTCTTTCCTATTTGAGTAAACCAGGTAAGAACTTCATATCTTATAAGACTCCTTACTTCCATATTAAATATCTTTATTCAATCTATTAATTAAATTAAACTGCAAATTAATATGAGTATAGAAATGTATTTTCAATAGTTAATAATTATTTCAAATTTAATTTTTGATTGAAATGTTATAATATCTCTATACTTATTTAGATCATTAATAATTAAGAATTACATTAAGTAAAACAATCTTCTATCATATTTCTCATTCTACTTGAAGTTAAAGATTAATTGGCAAAACTTGATAATTTTGTAGGTGTAGTTAATCTAATCATTCTATCAATAAATTAAATAATTTATTCCCATTCTTCTTCAATAAACATCATTCCAATTTT